TATAAGACGGTTGTCCCATCTACTTAGTTTTATTCTAAACTTTTAAATAATGAATTGGTAACCTTAAAACTTATTAATAACTGGGAGCGATGTGGCACCTTACGCTGTCTGGGCTATCTTGGATTATATAGTCATTGTAAATACATATTTTCGACAGGGCTAATGCAAANTCCAATCGGGTGCAGAGCCGCAACAAGGTCCTCAAATCGTTAGCCGGCAGCACCTGGGGCAAAGACAAAGAAATGTTGTTGGCAACATACAGGGCAATGGGCTGGTCGGTCCTAAACTATTCAGCGCCTGCTTGGTCGCCGGGGACTAGGAGGACGCAGTGGACGAAGCTGCAGACATGTCAGAACACGACACTCTGGACCGCGTCAGGATGCCTCCTGATGTCGTTTCAGCACCACCATCAAGACGAGGCCTAGAGGATCCCCGCCAGGGAGCATAATATAATTCTCTGCAATTAGTTCCCGGTAGGTTGCCACAGACATGGGCACCCGAATAGATAACTGCTTGCAGAAGAGTCCTCGCCAAGGACTTCAGGAGGCGTCTCAACGAACTAACGGACGAAGTCCAGAGGTTCATTAAATAACCTCTGGACCCAACTGCATACCGACAGGCGTTAAACGCCATTCACATGGGGTTGGTCTTGAGTTATATATATATACTCCCGACCTGTAAATGTCATTTTAGGCAGGCAACCAACCAACGTGGAGACAGAGCTTTGTCTGCCTTGAGAGACTCGCACCACAATAGCCCAACTCCGTTCTGACTACTGCAGTAGGCTAAACTCATACCTGAGCAGAGTGACTGCAAATATGCCCAAAGAGTGTCCGCTATCCGGAGAGTCGCCACATGACTCACGGCACCTCTGCGCATGCCCCCAAAAAACCCCACCCAGCTACCGCCCCTGTCCCTATGGACACACCCGGGGCAAGTGGCACATTTCCTGGGCCTCCCTTAGCTAAGCCTGATGATAGCGTTGACGGGAAATCGGACCCGAGTGGGGCTTGGTAGCCGCTACAACAATAACAAAATAAGGAGAAATTTCTAAACTTCTCTTTCCTACACAAAATTATACATAACCCTTAGCACTCCTACACTAATGATAAGACAGGTCGAACGACTTATATTTCGCCACAACAGTTTACCAATGCTTCTGCTCTACCTTGTATATCTTTTAGAGAAGGGTCCTTAACCTTGTTTAATCACTATTATTGCTGAGATATCACTACATATACAAACGCCACGACCTTCTCGAAGTCTTTCTCACATTTAGTAAACTTACCCGACTATATCGATTTCGGTGAATTCTCCGAGTGTTATTACATCGGTGATCATGTTATTGGCTTCGTTAGCCTCCTTGCCTGTACTGAACACCTTGGCGGTTAGAATCACTGGTTTTCCCGATATGCCAGCAACATCGAAAATAGCAGTAAATGAGTCTTTGGCGCCTCTCGCCATTGCAACGCCATTATTCAAATCGCATTCCAAGTAGTCGTTATCTTTGATACGGCAGTTACCAGGTATTTTGGCGAAGGGCATACGATTCGATGAAGTGATGCTGATTTGAGGTAGATAAGCTGTCTCGCCATTGTTGGTTATGTCATATGTGACGGCCAGTGTACGACTACTGCCGAGAATGTATGTGTGACTGAAATGGATGGAAATCAAGTTGTTTGTTATTATTTAACTTAAGTGGAAGAATTCTTTTTATCGTGCGACACTCACTCCAAATTGTGGCTTTTAACTTCCAGATCAGCCACACAGATATCGGAACTGCAGCCCGTACTAAAGATGATCTTCTCACTGTACACCTTTGGCTCGACCGGGTCAACGGCCGCACATTTGTCACAGAACACTGTAAAGTAAAGTAGAATAAATTTTGGTTAGCATTTGG